TATTATTTTGTTGCTTAAAAGATTGATTTATTTTGAATTTTTGAAGAAAATAAATAATATATTTTTAAATGATAATATTCTGCAGGAAAGGAAAAAATCTATTACTGTTAATTTGGCGAATTTTTGTCCCTTAATGGTTTGAATTTTACTTGACATAAAAATTATCATTAAGGGGTACATAGTATGTGATATTTTTAAATTAATGTGCTAATTGTTTTAAAAGGAAAATATTATTTAAATTATCCAAGAAAAGTTTGGAATTGTTATAAAAAGGCTTGTTTCTTTAAAAATTATGCTAAATTCGTATACTGGTGTTTATTTTGCAAATTTAATTTTTTTTAATAAATGTTTAAAAAAATATCGGATTATGCTCTAGTTGTATTTAATTTGTTAAATGTTTTAGCTCGTGCAAATTGGTAAAACTGAATCAATTACATTTTAGTAAACATATATTTTTTTTAGTTTGAAACTATAAAATGATGTTATTCGAATTATTTAAAAAAGTTGCATTGAACTAGGTTGCAATGTATGCAGTTAGACTACTTTCAGGTATTTAAGTAAATGAAATTATAAATCACTATCAGTAAAATTCACCAAATTCATTATGTCAGAAAATATAAATAATTTTACGAAAGTGGTGTTAGAATGAAGAGATTAGTTAACAAAGGGATCGTAATAATAATCACAAAACATTTTAAACTATCTTTTAAGTATAAAAAAAGTTGAAGATTTTTTTCTAAAACCTGTTATTTTGGAACAGGTATTATTTTGTATCGGAACAGCTGGAACCTGTTATTTGAAAATACCTGTTATCGCCCATCACTACTCCACTACCCAATTACATCTGCCAACTCTTCCGGATTTTCCGGAAGATTTTATTTTCATATTTAATGTGGTAGTAAATATATACTATTTTTTTCTTTTATAATTTCAATTTTTAAATGATTGTGATCACCACTATTCTTACAAAAATTAAGCACATATATAAATATGCGTTACTATCATGGTTGTCATTCCAATGCCATTAGTCTCAGTCGCCCTAGGGCATAACACAGATCAGAGGTCTAGTGCCCGCTTGCGCGGGCAGGTACCTTGCCAAAATTACACGATCCAGTCATGGTTGTCAACTTAAGTTTTCTCAAATACAACGTATTTGTCTGCTTAAAATTGAAGTTTTAATTCCATTTTAATACCACTGGGAAAAATTATAATGGAAAGGATTAAAAGTTGGCAGGTATGCAATTAAATGTTCGCTTTAAGAAGACAACAAAAATGCATTGATAAAAACATGTACCGACACATTTCTTTTTATTAAAATAATTTTTTTTTTACTAATTTACGAAGCTATGAAAATTTAATATTTCATCGTTTGTCAATTTGAACTTTATTTTCAAATGACAAACTACAGTGCGGAAAAACAATTATATGGAGTGATTTGACATATGAATGATCTCCTGCATAAAGAGATTTTAAAAATTGCCTCATCCCTCCCCTTAAAAAAATTTAAAAATGTATATATATATTTTCTGTGTAACATAATTACTGGTTTTTCTTTTAAAAGTCCTCCTTTCTTAAAAGGTTACTTGCCCCTCTTCTTCACCCCCATCACTCATTAATGTTAGAGGATAAGATAATACTGAATACTTTATTTTTACCGAAGTTTAAAAATTGATAACAGATTCTAGTGGAGAAAAATACGCTCTTTAATACTAAAGTACTAAAAAGTAATACCTGTGCTTTACAGCTTTAATTTCTTTTTATTTAAATGGAAGAACTAAAACTGTCGAAAAAAGCTTTTCAGTTGTCGTTGCCATCTTTCAAATAACTGTATATCAAGAGAGTTAATTTTGTAAATTTTTAAAAAAAAAATGGTAATGCAGTAGTAATTGTACTTTGCATAATACAAAGTTATTGTTTCGTCTCGGCCTATAAATTCAATATTTTACTTTTGATAAAAATAATGTTTAAAGGTATAATTTTCATTGATTAAAACTCAATTAAATTGTAAATTATCCCCAAGATAAATGATTAATTTAATAGTAATTTTTCGATAATTGTTTATCAATCAAACCTTTTATTTGATGACAACTAATGGTTAGCTTAATTGAAAAAATTGCTGTAATAATTATTTTACAATCTGGGACTAAGTTGCAAAATCCGATATTCAGGGTAGAACGAAAGTTATTCAGGGTGATATCTTTTTTTTGCGGACAGTACATACACTAAAAACGAGTACTTAATTATACTGCATATAGCACTAGAACTGGGAATTTAACTATCCCACATAAAACCTAATTTTAGATTATTAATGATAAAACGATGAAAAATTAGTCATTAGGAGCAGCTTCAAGGCCTTGTTCAATTGCTATTAATTCACTTTTGAAGACCGATGAGAAATCAGGGTTAAGGAAGCAGATCCCCTGGTTTCTCAATGTAGATGCCACTGCCTGCGTGGTCGTCCAGTTTAGGCAGATAGACTGTCTATCCCGTGGTTTCTCGATGTAGATGCCACTGCCTGCGTGGTCGTCCAGTTTACTGCCGTCCGTAAAAATTTTTATGGCATTGTCGGGGATCTTTTTTATGATTTCTAAAGCCAACTGCCAGAGATGAGCTGGAATGAAGACCTTCTTAGTGAACGGGGTTGTAAAATCGAAGTGGAAATAAACTCTTGGGAGTCCTTCTGGGGGACAAGATTTTAAGGAGTGGGCCTCAATTTCATTATAAGGCAGAAGCTTAGCCTGACTAAAGAAGCTGTTTTTCTTAAGTCTTTGATTGTTATTCCAGTTGTTTAAATATAGGGAGGTTCTATTATGCTGACCGTAGCTAGAAAGTTTGTTATAATATTTGGTAAGGTTGGCCTTTCTTCTAGTATGGAGAGGTTGCAAATTAGCCTCATAGAGAACTCTCGGACAGCTGCGTCATAGTCCAGTAATAATTCTAGCAACACTGAGTTGAACCTTTTCCAATTTACCCAAGTTGGTGACTGAGGCACAGTTATAAACAGGGAAACCATACTCTAAGATGGGCCTAATTAATGTCCTCCCCCCCCCTTCTGGTCCTAGATTTCCTTAGATGGACCTTGTCTCAGACATTTAGAGGATAAGCTACAACAACGATGACAAATCTTCCTTCCTCGAATTCTGAGAAAGGTTGCTATTTGGTGAATATTTATTTCGCTGCTTATCTTATTTGCATTTCTAAATCATGATTTTCATGGAGTCAAGTAATTTTTTAAATGCTGATATATTTTATTAGAAGTATCTCTAGTAATATTTAAGATCTTACAGCAACATCATTATGCATAATAATTCTTTTTATGTGAGGGCAAACTTCAGCTATTTTAAAACTTCTCTCTTGTTAAATTGCAAATTTAATATTCCAAAATATTTTGGCAGTTTTAGGAAAAAATAGTTCAAAATAGAAAATTCTAAAATAAAAATGTAAAATTCTCAATTATTTTATGATTTAATTAATATTATATTAGTATTATTTTTATTAACATTATTTTCATTAAATTAACAATAAATGAAATCCCCCTACAACTTTAAATAGCGAATTGTTAATTCTTTTTTTAATTCTGTAATTTCACGTTCGTAAATGTTTTTTTTATCTCACAAAAGAACTTGAATAATTTTTCATTCAAAAAACAATGTTATAAAAATAGAGTTATACAAAAATACACATTAAGTGAAATTTTATTAGAAATAGCTATTTGTTTTTAACTATAATACCCATCGTAATATTCATTCACTTGTCAATAGTATCCTATTTAATTACTATATTTCCAGAAGAAAAAAAAAACTTTTGTACTTAAATAAGAATTAAAATTCATCCATAATTTTTAAAACGTGAGAAAATAGTAAAGCACCAAAACTAAACTGGCTTCATCTTTGCAAAACATTTTTATATTATTTATTATATTTCTCTCTTTTGACAATTTGCTCTTTTTGGGATAAGCTGTTAAAACAACAGTTTTTATTAAATTAAAAATATATTGGACTGGCTGGAATTTCAAAAGGTATAATATTGGATAATAAAGCTAAGTAAGTGACAGAAGAAAAAAAATTAAATGATTCTGCTTGTCGCGCATATAAAGTTGTCTCATATTCAAGTGATCAAATTTCACTAATATAGTTTGTCTATAGAAAGAACTCCCCTCGTCACGAAGTCTAAGGCCGTCTGCTGCTATGGAAACAAGAAATAGTGCATTTCAAAGAGGGGAGCATCTTTCTTGCTTAATTCTCTTTCTCCTACCAGCCCGACTCAATAACTGTCTTAAATAATGACCCAATTTACCCTTGAAATAGTTGAACCTCGTAACCATAGTCACCTCCCCCACTCCAGACGAATGGCTATGGAGAGTTTTTTTACAAAGACAGACTATACATTGTCCACTGGACATGCGCAATATCAAGCTCCATCTACATCTGGAAAATCCTCATAAATTTGAGGGTGAATGGGTAAAGGCATTGATGATTGATTATATTTAAAACCAAACACCCCCTACAATGCCCCTATATTACCTGAGCACCAATTTCTTATCTTCAATACATAATAATTTTAAACATTCCTAATGCTTATTAGGTGTCAAAGCCTTTGTAAGTATTCGCGATAGCAACGCTCGATTACGCCATCTGGGGAGAAAACCGGTTCCATGCTTTTTACCCTTCCCTCTCCTCCTCTTTTCAATTATGTAAGAATGTGTGTACTACCATTTTCTTTCTTTTTCTCATTATTTTTCGTATTTAATCACTAAAAGTATTTTTTTTAAATTTCTATTTCTCTTTCTTTTAAAATCACGAAATTTTTTATAGCCATCAAATTTTGAGAAACTAATTTTTGACATGCTCAAATTGCGACAAAATTATTTATTTCCTCGAAATAAGTTTTTCAATTTTTAACTTAAATATTTTTCACAAAGAGTCAAATCACCACTCCAACGAAGAAAATCTATAATTTAGACAGTTGTTATTTTTATACTATTTTTTGTTACTTTTTAGGTGCCTTTTTATTATATGTCAAGAAAAGAGAGACTCCTGCAGCACTTGAAAGACACCAAGAGTAGTAACAATGCCTGGGAGTTTTGTGAATTGCTTAGATGTATAAATAGACCTAATTCGGATACTGATGCGGATAAAATATATTTAAATAATGTTTTAATTTCGCATTATCTTACAAACAGAAATCATACTGAAAAATTTGATTCGGATACTGATACGAATAAAATATATTTAAATAATGTTTTAATTTTGCATCGTCTTAAAAACCTATTTCCTACTGAAAAATTTGATTTGGATACTGTTACGAATAAAAAATCTTTAATTAGTGATTTAATTATGAATCGTCTTAAGGACATAATTCATACTGAAAAACCTGAATATAACATAAATAAATTTATCTTGATGTCCCTAATGAATAGAACTCATGTTTTAAAAGAAGTAAGTGAGTTTATATCTCGATTTCTTTCGGGTATTGATAACTTTGACTGTGGGAAACAGAATTCAGAAGAATATTTAATGCATTTCATACAAGAATTCGAACGTCTTATTAATTTGTATGGTTATAGTGTTGATTATTTTCATAGTATTAATACGTATGACAGAAACAACATAAATGCTTTAAAAAAAATTTCTACTACTTTAATGGAGATTACAAGGAGATGTACAGCAGACCTTCTAAGAGCTTTACGCCATGAATACCAATTGCATTTCGTCGACGAAGAGAAGAAAAAAATTGGATTTTTGATGGTAGAGGCTATTGCACCTATTGAAAAAATTGTGTGTAGAACCGATTGTATTCAAACGTACGGCAAGATAAAAAGTTTTTTTTTGTTACGAAGATCCTCTCTTCAGTATTTCAGAGATTTTTTTGATTCATTTCCTGTTGATGAAACTCCATTAAAACGTTTTGATATGAACAGAATAGATTTGTGCATCGAGGAATTAGATAGGAATATTGATGATATGTGTAAAATTGCTGAATATTGTGCTTATCTGGAGGATGAGGAAGATGAGGATGGGGAGGGTTATTTCAGTGATTACGAGGAACACGATGACCTCAAAAAGGATGGCGCATCTACAATGCCTGAATCACATGTGTGGTGGGCTAAGTGTTCTCAAACCCTAAATCGTTTAAGGATTAATCAATTTCTTAATCAACTTTGTTATTTCTCTTGAGCTGTAATATGACATTCTAATAAAAAGAAATTTCTGTATGTAACAGTACTCTGGATATTGAACTTTGTTGTTGTTGTTGTTATGAGTATAGGGCTGCCATTGGTGACTAAATCGACTGTTTTAAAGCAATATCAACTAGGGCGACTATTTTAGTAGAAATATGAGTAAAAACAACTAATTTACAGTGAGTTGCGTAAAATCGGCGACTTTTTTTTAGCCAATTAGCGACTAAAATGAAGAATAGCTTCTTGAGTTTCCCCCTTTAACCACTTCTTTTCGCAGCCCTTTCGTTTTATCCAAACTTTATTCTTCCTCAGTCAAAAGCAAGACAGACATGTTTTACCAATCAGACTAATGGAATTGAATTGCTCCTCCTGCTTCAGGAAGCTAATGTAATATGTCTGAGGATTACGTTTTTTTCCCCTCTTTTTAATTTAAATGAAGAGGCAAAATTAAAACAAATTGTCTTTAAATGCATGTGTAGTTAATTTTTTTAGAGCGTTTTAGAATAGAAAAAAAGGTACATGGTGATATATATATTATATATGGGTGATTCTCACGAAATATGACAATTCACTGTCCCTTGTTCCAATATCTAATAATATAACACTAAAGAACTTTTTTTTAAAAAAAAATATTAATAAAAAGCATTGCTGTTAGCATTTTAAAATGACTTTGCACTAGCATTGACTGTTTTATATAGTTAAAAAATTTAATTGAACTTCAAAATTTCATGTTTCTGTTATGTCCCAACAATATCTCCAGTAATAACTAGCTTCAAAACTTTCCATAAATTTTTCAATATCTAATTTTTTTATCTCAACCGGTGTATGCATTTCTAGAATATACGCTGAGGGTATTATTTACAAAAACTTCGTTTAAAGTAATTTGTTTGTCTCATAAAAATCTGTCATTTTCCTGGCTACTTTTATTTAGTGGTTTATAGCCAAAATAGATAGAGCCAGCAATCAATATCTTATGTTATAGATTGATTAGATACCCTCCTATCTGAGCATGTCTAGTTGCATGAATAAAGAACCAATTTTCTGGTTTAAAATCTATTTCAAAAAAATTTTCAAGGTGGGTAGGTTTTTGTGTTGTCATTTTCCTGGCTTCTTGAAATTATTAATAACATAAACTACATGGATTTTTCTGAGTTATTTTAAGAAATCCTGTTGTTTTCTGCAGAATATAAACGTCTTAGGCCAAAATATTAATGTAAAGTTATATGCTATAAAGTGACGAATTGGTCATTATCCCGGCTTATGAATGCCAGAACATTGAAGTGTTTCCAGAAATTTTTTTAACTGCTAATACTGTAAGAATAAGAAATTTTTTTAACTGCTAATACTGTAGAGGGAAAGCAAATATTAACCTAACACCAAGTTTATGTATGATTGTAATATGCTTGGATGTAATCAAAGTTATTTATTTATTTAATGATTGATTATTATACACAATTTTATTCTGTACATATCAGCAACAAAATTTTTTTTTGATTATTTCTACAGTGGATAAAAATAAGTAATTTATGGTCCATCTAACATAAAGGCTTAAGTTGAGTTACTTACTATTAACTTAAAATAACTGTTTTTCTTACTATTAACTTAAAATATGTCATTTTCCTAGCATTCAAGATTTAGTGAATTTCTGTTTTATTTTTCTCTCGAGCAAATGTCAATAAACTACACTGCTATCTGTAAGATATTAATAAGTGTAACTAAAGAAGTGTACAAAAAAAATGTTAGATTATTTTGAAGACTTTAAATTTGAAGAAATTTTTTGGTCCAATTGTCATATTTCAAAAGAATCACCCATATATTCGTTTTGAAGAATTGTGATCATAATTTTTTTGATAAGCATTAAATTCGGAAATGCGTCAGTTATGAAAACTAAAAAATTGATAGATGAATTAAATTGCCATATTTCTTTTTTTTTTTCTTTTCAAATGTCTAATTTAGACAGCTGCAAATTAGAGCTGAGAAGGGAAATTCGAGTTTCCAATTAATCTGTTCTGTAGCAGATAAAAATAAATCTCCCCAAGTAGCACCTAATATTAGAAAATATCAGAAAACCGATAAAATCTAATGTTATCTTGCACAACTTCTAATATTAGAAAGATACAAGAGGTCGCTGTTTGCTCTGCATAATATAATATTAGATTCTATGCAAACTAATATTATCTAGCGTTCGTTGTAATATTATTTTGCATTAGTTTTAATGCTATATAATATTAGATTTTGTATTTTCTGATATTATCTTTGCTTTGCTTTTTTTGGAGTAAGCAAGAGGAAGATATGGATGGTAGTAGAATTCGACGATATAATTTTGATTATTTTTCTGTATTGCTGTGAAACAGTAAAACATAGAACCTTAGTTTTACAATGTCGTTCCATGCATTATTTACTTAGCAATGCAAAAATAGTAAATAAAATTATATTAGCGAATTCTGCTACCATCCACTTTACTCCAAAGTATATCTTATGTTCAGCTGATATTTGTTTGATTATTAAATTTATTTAAGAAATACTATATTACAACTTTTATTGCTATTTTTTTCGTCATACAATAAGTTTTCTGATGAAACATTATTAATTTTCAAGACAGATTTAAGAAATACTATATTGCAACTTTTATTGCTATTTTTTTCGTCATACAATAAGTTTTCTGATGAAACATTGTTAATTTGTTTCTTTTTTTTTTAGAAATGAGCCTATTTTATCAAAATCTGAATTAAGTTAGTTTTGTAAAACATGCTTTATGAAAGTCGTAACTTATGCTATTTGTAATTTCCTATTTATTATTCATTATTTATATTCTGAAATAATATAATAAAAAACCACACTACATAAATAAAGTTAAATTTACATTCGATTTGAGTTGAAATTTACCTTCATAACTTCCAAAAATATTAAAATAAAATATTTTGAACTTTTAAATTATCTTTTGTAATAATCGAGACAATAAAGAAAATTTAAAAATATTCAAATTACTTACTTGCATAAATTTTTCACTGAAATTAAATGGAAAAATACTGGAAATGGAAAAGGCATCCGTCGAAATATTTTCTGGGAGTGCAACCGGGAATGCCTTTAAGAATTTTAATTATAAATTTTGCCAATTATTTCTTGTAATGAAAAAATAACTTCTGCTGTGCCAATGTGAGATTGGCATATCAGAAATTTTTACGATTTGACAATTAGTTTAAGGTACTATGTATTAACCAACAATTTTAGCCAAAAAATTTAGGTAACATTCAAATTTCGAAACCAAATAAAGTAGTAAATTTTGTATTATATCAAAATTAAATTTGCACTAATATTTAATTGCACACAAGAATAGACGAAAAAACATAACATCTTTTTTTTAATATATGCTGCCTTTACTATTAATGATAAAAGTTTTACTACTATCAGTTACTTTTTGAGAATGTTGGAATCACGAAATTTCTGTTCAAAAGCAATCAATTCGATTGTTTGTACTTTTCTGATAAGAGATTAGGCATTAATAACATAATAAAACAAAAATAACATTATATATAAATGTCTTAAATGGGATTTAAAAAAAAAAAAAAAGATGCAATCGCACAACATGTTTTCACAAAGTACATACAAATCTCACAGATGAAAGTTTAAGCTTTATTCTTTTCTACATTGATCGGGAATTTTTATTAAAATGTAAATGTTATTCAGCTAAAAATGAAATTTTTAGGATTAATTATATTATTTTAAACATGATAAAAATAAAAAAGCAAGCTTTTTGTCTCAAATTTCAAATGAATAATCATGTGGAAATTTCTGAAATTAAAATAATGAAAACAATGTTGATAATAAAAATACTTAAAATTTCGAGAGACATAAATCAGCGTTAAAAGAAAATTGTTTCCGGTATCACGCTGACTGATTAAAATAACAAAATTTTAAATATATTCAACTGTTTTCATGACACTTAAGCACTTATAAGATTTGCTAACTTTACATTTTATAAAATTTTATCAATAAAATGTTGAAGATTTATTACAAAGGCGTAGCCTCAACTCAAAAATTTTGTACTTTAATAATTAGTAACCACAACATTCTTATTATGTGAAAATACTATATTGCATATTTTGCCGCGAGGGCTCAGTGGTTAGAGCGTTCTCCTTCTAATGAGGTGAACCGGGTTCGAATTCCAGCGATGGCTTGCACCGATCACAGTGGTGACGAGAAATATCCTCAGTGGTAGACGGATGAAGGGTTAGAGTCTCTTTGCCGTCAGGCTAACCGTGGGAGGTTCTCGTGGTCTTCCTCTCCATATAGCGCAAATGCAGATCAGTTCCATCAAAAAGTACTCCACAAAGGCAAATTTCTCCCAATACTTGATCCAGGAATTCCCTTGTCTTTTGGATTGGGTTCAAAATTACAGGGCTACAGAGTTGAACATTAATAGTCGTAAACCCAAAAATTTGATCGGCTGCTCAACGAGGGTTATAAAATAAAATATTGCGTATGTTAAATGATTTAGGGCTTACATTTGTTCAAAGAGCATTTTAAAGTACTCGGTTGCAAAGGGTTAAAAATAAATAAATCATAAAATAAAATAAATTTAAGAATAAATTATTTTAAGTATGTTTAAGCAATGTAAACTTAGAGTTTTATGAAAAAATTTAAATAACATAAAAATGTTTTAAATTTTGGAAATTTATTGGGGGGGGGGGGCACGTGCCTAGCTAACTCTTTCCAACATTATACATAGTTTTTGGTCCCTTCTATCTCTTAGCTTCTGACTGTGTTAATTGCGTGTAACTTGATCCTTGATAGTGGGAGAGGGAAGGGAAGTAAGAAAGAGTCTGTTTTAGAAAACAAGAATAAAATATTTTATTCGAACTTTTTTAAAAGTATAATTCTTGAAATTCAAACAATATTCATAGATAACTAATAATAAAAACAATTTGCTTAAAATCTGATGTAGATGAATTTACATGATTTTTTCTCAACAGAACTGAAAACGTTGGTTTACGTTAGTCAGGCACATCAAGGTAAACCAGTTACCCATGATGCATTGTGACG